TTGTGTAAAAACCAAAATGGCGAGTTGAATTTTTCCTTGTGATGAGTGGTACTGCACATTTGATACAGATACCACAATGTGCATTCCTTTTCATTTTGTTCTTAGCAGGTTTGAGTGCCCTCCATTACTTTTTATTAGCAGGCAAGGACACACAGTGATAGTTACAGTCTGTGACTTCTCTAAACCTGGTCTCCGGAACAAGAACAATGGTATGTCAGGAACAGAAATAAAGATAATGTGCTGTTCCATAGTTTGCTGCATCAAGGCAAAAAAGGACAAAAATAAACAAATAGATGTAAAAGGGCTATACTGCCAAACTTGAAGCCGGAACCCAAAGAAATGAAGTAAAGCTTGCTTGGGATTTACCCATGGCAAGCACCTCTCTCATATCCTCATTTATACTGGAAAATGCAGTCTCCACAGAATAGGTCCAAAATAGAACAGGAAAATAATCGCTGTACCCCCCTGGACATGGTCTCTGTTGCTCGCTACCTAGTATCTGATTTTAAGATTATGTTCATGTATTAGATAAAAAGAACAGTAAACTTTGGGAAGGCTTTACCTAAGTGGGGAAAGAAGACTGATTATATAAACACAGAAAATAGTGATGGGGGGGAAAAGACCGCGTATTCAAACTGTGGTAAAGTGCTGTCTGGTGGGGCTCGAAATGCTACATTGCCAAGTCGGGCAACGTACGTGGTTTGCAATTTGTGTATGTAAGTGTATGTACAAAAAAGACCAACACACACATATGATGTTTTTACAGAGAATGTTTTTTTCATCTATTTTTGCTATGCCTGGTTTTTATTGTATTTAAATTCGTGATCTTACTGAAAAATTATTTATTTAGTGTACAAATTATTTTTACCTTCTGAAAATTCAACTCTAGCTGAAGCCTGTTGCAGTGTGTCAGTGGAGTTCTGCATCATTAGATTCAAGTACATTGGGAACGCACACTTCCTCACTTCTGCTAACATACTGATTAGGCAGACGAGTTACAAAAATATCCCATGCACTGATCTTGTGTCCCGGCTGAGAATGATCACAGAGGCAGGGCAGTCGGTCCGTAATCGTAACTCTGTCTTACAAAATAAAGATCTGCATCCATGTATTCAGTCTGGTTATTTTTTTTTTCAGGCAAGAAGTGCAGTCATGGTTCGTAATCAGTGGGCATTGATAGTACTCAGGAAAACCTGGCGCTTGGGGAAAATAGCATTACCTGCGTGCAGCGGGAGTCTTGCTTTGGGCAAGAGTGGTTTCGGTTCCCAAAGGGAGCTACGGTGCAGGAAATTCACAGCGGTTGCTGTCAGGCCGAGGCAAGATGCCTGTTTCGTGAAGTGCAGTCCTTTCCCTTCCTGGCACGGGCTCCCTGCTGTCTTTAAGCAGATGCCAAGAGGCATTGTTCAGAACTGGCCAGCAGTGGGGTTTTCCCAAATACAAATGTTCCAGCATGATTTTTCTGGAAATCCCACTGCACAGGTGAGGAAAAAAACACAGTCTTTAACCGACTCAGAGGCTCCAGTTACAATACAGCCCTGCCCTGATGGGGCTGGAGATGTGTCGGAGCTCTAGAGTAGAGAAGGCCTGACTGTGTCTCTGTGACCTGTCCCAGGTCCGGCAGCTAAGTGGTACTGGTCAGATTTCATCTATGCATACGCACCCGTGGACATTGTTTAATCAGGTTCTGTGGATCATCTATAGCTTGCAATATAGACAGGGTGGAATTTTACCTTTAATGTATAGCCATTGTTTTCCGTTAGCAACAGGTAACATGTCAGCTCGCAAAGTTTTAAGTGCATTTCACTCTCCCTTTCATCTTTTTCAGATTTATTTTTTTTTTATAAAATATATAGATTTATCTTTGGGTTTGTGTATTCTTCAGATCTAATTAATCTTTGAATTAATTACAACCGCTAATCTTGCCGCTTAGTGAGGAACCACAGTATCCTTTTTCATATTCTACTTAACCTGATTTTTTTCTATTTGCTGGCTTATTCAAAAGCATTTACCGATCTTTATCTATACAGAAAATTCTCTTATGCGGTGTGCAGAAGATGCGTTTTGTAATGCTACATAGCGTAAGTTAAGCTTATACTGTCACCTAAAGGATGACTAGTGTTCTAGCTCTTCACACAGCCTGGTGACTTTTGCCCTCTGAATGGTATAGAAGTCTGTCTTTCATGTCTCTTCTGTGAGGATACTATTCTGGATGTACAGAACGCTTCTGAAAGGATCAGAGACTCCCACTGAGGTCAGTAGCTCGGTCTTTTCGAGGACTGGCCCAAGACTTGCTTCCTTAAAATCAACAGGAGCTGGACTGAGCCTCTTGGCAGCGATATATAGAAATGCCTAGGGGAGGAGAAGAAAGGTAGCTAAGGGAGCGCAGCCTTTTGTTATGAAATAGGTGTGATCTTGTTCAAAGATGTTACGAAGGTTTGTGTGTTCCTGAAGCGTATGCCCGCATGCCAACAATTGACATGTAGAGGAAGACTAATAAAATAATGTGTCTGACAGATTTTAAAACGCAAATGTGGCTCCTCGCATAAGTTCTTGGTTACGTTTGTGAACAGTGATGTTTCATGATGTTGTGTTTGTCTTCCAAGTGTAAAACAAAGCGACACTTCACGTGCCAGATCAGTGTTGAACAAGTTTCCTGTGGTAGGTGTGTGTCTTTCTACTGTTTGGTTGTTTTTTTTCCAGCATGCCGTTTTGCAGGAGCGGGTAAAGTAACCCTTTGTCACATTCCTCTGGTGGTAACTGTGAAGATAATGAAAAACTAAAAGGTGTATCATTTAGCGGCCCTATTTAGTGACTACTCCTGTGGGAGAGTGGGGATCTCTGTTGTACAGCTACAACTGTGAATTTTAGTTCAGCTGACTCTGGGCCTACGTAAATCCGAGTTGTCTTCTTTCATTTGCGCCGGGTCTTCTTGACTTCGAAGGTGCAGGTTTGAGCACCTCTGTCATTCGGATAAAGGCATTTACGAGACTGTCAGATCGGACTGTAAGAACAGTACAGTTTGGACTCCCGTTCTGTCTCAGCTATAAGTGCTACTCCTGAGCTTAAGAAAACCACTGTTGTTTTTGGACTCTTTTTAAGATGATGCGTACTGCTATCCCATTTCATAACAGCCGTACGTAATAGGCAGGGACTGGTGTTACATTGAATATTGGAGCAAGGAGAAAATCTAGAGCAAAGCTCTAATTGCGCCCACTTGACAGCTGAATTTGAGCAATGTAATTCCGCTGCCGCTGGTGAAGGGGCATCTAATTCTGTACGGATCTACCTTGACCTACCTACCTACTTCCCAAAATACACATTACCATGGTATCGGAAGGCCTGCAGGTGTTCTTGGTGAACCGTGAGGAAAACTGGGCACGCTTTAGACCTCTGCTTCCTGCCATCGCTTCCCGAATGGCAGCACTCGGTGAGGATGCAGCTTACTCGTGCCTTCTCCGGAGGAACGTGTGCTAACAGCTAGATGGTACGTGGGGAGTCCGGTGGCACGGTGGACCATGGCTACAGCTCATGTAAAAAGCTCTCTCGCGTCGGACGCTTCGCTTGCGGTGCAGGAACCCCGGGGTGCGCGTTTATAGTCCCCGTACGCGAAGCGGGCGCTGGATCGAACTGAACTCTCCGAGTACCTTTGACTTTGACTTATCCATCCTTTAAGTAGTTCCTTTCTAATGAAAATGGAAATAAAGATATTTTCAGGACTACACAAACATAGTAAGATGGCCAGTTTGTCAAGAAATAAAATGTCAATTTACATTTATTTCTTTCTTAAACATATCTACCTTACACAAATAAACCTAAGTCTACTGGAGTGCTGGTGAGAACAGTTCCTGCCTAGCTGTCCAGGCTTGGCTTTACCCGGGAGGGTCATGGCTCAGCTGAAACTAAAATTGTATTTAAATGTGAACAGATTGGGGTTTTTTTTTCTCCATTATAATGTTGTAACTCTCTTGAAATGCGTGTTCTGGTCTTCTATTTTCTTAGTAAAATGCATTCCCTTTGCCTAAATTGCATTTGATTTTGTTTATTCTGACAAAATAGTGCTTGACCTATGCCCAATTGGTACGCGATCGCCTGGATCACCGGTGGCTTTTTTTTTTTCCCCTTTTCTTCCCTTGCAAATGATCGGCCGACACGACCGGTGCTGGGGCTGTGGGTAAAGCAGTTACAGTTTGATCTCAAAACTGCTTTTCGGGGACACCCGGCTTGTTTGACAGCGCTTTGCGAAGGACCTCTTCAAGAGGGGCTTGAGGAGCTGCGGCC